ATGGAAATACACTTTTTAAAGTTTCTAATGCTAGGAGAAGATATCATATGATGTCTTTTAAATAAATTGTAAGTGAAAGATATAGTATAAATCCTAGAATAAAAATTAAGATTAAGCAATATTCAGAAAATTAAATACTAATTAATTAAAAATTAAATGTTTCAAAACAGTTGAACTAAGAAAAAGTTTTCATGATAGCAAAGAAGTACTGAGAGTAAAACATAAGATAAATACTGGAATGGCCAATAAATGACCAGCACTTCTAGCAGTTTGAGGATAGGATATCGCATAAAGTTCTAGTGTGTTGTGGACATGCGTAATGACCGTGACAGTTATTGGTGGCCAGGCGTCACTTGTGGGACTGAACTACAGCTATTTCTTTGAAATCCACCCTGTAGACTCAGGTGGAATCATGACCCATAGGGTGGAAGAGAAGTCCATTTGTAGAGTGTGCTGATGGAAATATTTTGCTGCTGAACATAAAAGAATAACTGAAAGACTACATTGTATACCTCTTATTCTCCTGTGTTTAATTGTTTGCCCTCTTTGGCAGGTTCGTCACAGAAGTATTTCACTTCTCCATTACACTTGAAAGAGTTTTGTAGGGTATATCAGTCTGGGTTGGAATTTGTTTTTTGCGAGACTTAAAGTACTTTGCTCCATGCTCTTCTTTTTTTTTTTTTTTTTTGGTGGAACCGGGAATTGAACTCAGTCCCTTGCGCTTGCCAGGGAAGTGCTTATTCCACTGAGCCATTTCCCTGGCCCCGCTCCATGCTTTTCTTGACTTGATGGTTTGTGAAGAGAAATCTGCCGTTATTCTGATGGGTTTTCCTTTAAATGTGATCTGTTTCTTTCATTTAGTGGCTTTTAGTGTACTGCTCCTGTGCTGAATTTCTGGGATCTTGATTATTATATGTCTGGGTGTGGTTTTAATTGGGTTGATGTTATTTGGAGTTCTATGTGCTTCGGTTACTGAATGTCAGATAGTTTCCCCATATTTGGGAATTTTTCTGCTTTCTCTTTTGCCCATATTCTTTTTATATCATTTGTATTCCTTCTCATTGATGCCTATTAGTCTCACATTGTTCATCTTTGTATCATCTTGCAGGTATTGAATTATTTTTTCCTGCATCCTAGTTGTTTTTAAGAGATCTTTTCTTACTTTTTCACTAGCTGCGATGGTGTCTTTTGGCTCAGAAAGTCTATTTTCACTTTCCCTCAAATGGTTTTGCCAGCTTGTAAGTGAGGTTTTAATTTCCTGTATATCACTTTGAATCTGTTTCATACGTTCTATTTTTTTCTTAAATTGCTTATTCAGGTGTTCCATCATTTTTATATTCTCCTCTATTTTTTTTTATCCGTGTATTCTTTTGAAGCACTTAGTACTTCTTTGATTATAGTGGTCACTACCTTTTTTAGTTCAGAAATTATTTCTGATCTGATTTCTTTTATACCTTTCTGTAGTTGATTCTTTTTCTTTTTTTTTGGTGGAACCAGGAATTGAACTCAGGCCCTTGCACTTGCCAGGGAAACGCTTATTCTACTGAGCCATCTCCCCAGCCCCTGCGCAGTTGTTTCTTTACTTCTAACGCTATTATTTCAGAGATATCAGGTGTGTGATTTCCAGTTTCCTCTATGCTAGTGTCTTCTGCATTTGTACTGGGTGGACTCGGGGCCTGAGACTGCATTTTGTTCCTTCTCTTTGTCATTTTGTATACCACTGTCTTCTGACCTTTGGTGTAGAGCTTAGATGGAGTTATTACCTTAGTACCAGGTCCGGATCTATGAAGTTCAGTTTCCTCCAGGTGGGTGTTGTTTGGATCTGGCTGCTGCGCTCCACTTCTTTCTGCTGCAGGCGTTAGAGTCGAACCCTTTGTGTCTCTCTGGCAAGATGTTCTGCTCCTGAATCAGCTGGGTGGGTCTTGCCTCTAGCCTCTTTGCAGCCTCTAGCCTCTGAAGGGTTCCATGCTGGGCCTGCACTCTGGATCTATTCAGAATCCGGCAGCCCCGGGCGGTCTCACTCACATGCCGGGCCTGCACTCTGGGTCTATTTAGGATCCGGGGGCCCGGGTGGTCTCAGTCACATGCCGGGCCTGTGCTCTGGGTCTATTCAGGATCCGGAGGCCCTAGGTCATCTTACTCCTCAGTGGTGATTTTAAAAAGTGACTTGGTATTTAATTCTATTTGTGTACAGATGTGTTAAGCATTTAGTAAATAATTATGTTTGATTCTTTTTTATGTATTTGATAGAGGGTCTCACTACGTAGCTCAGACTTGCAGTGATCCTCCTTTTTGCAGCCTTCCCAGTGCTGGGATTTCAGGCATGTGCTACCATGCTTGGGCTCATTGGTTGGCTCAGTGCACCCCAGGAGTGGGGCTGGCATGGTATGTGGGACTAGGGATCAAACCCTGGTCTCTGCGCTTGTCAAAGCAGGTGCTTAGTCCACTGAACTATTGATGTTTGATTCTGTGCATAGGATTACAAATGAGTTAAAATTGAGTTTGTCCTCAGGAAGCTTAACATTATTGAGAACATAGAAGCATAATATCCCTGGATTTTTGTAAACATAATGAAAGACACACATACAAGGTCTTTATGGAGTGCAAAGCAAGATTATTTAGTTTGAAGTTTAGACAAGGCTCGTCAAATGTGGACGTAAGTGATGAGTGGAGGCCGCCAGGGCGTTTCAGACCAAAGAGTAGGGTAGAGTAAGATGCAGGACGGCATCTGAGCTGGTGAGTGGTGTTCCCAGACTGTCATGTCTTAGGCTGGACCGCGGTGCAGTGAGACCAGGGCTTTGGCAGGTGCTGAAGGCTTTGTGTCAGGTGCTGAAGATGTGGAGGGCTAGCCCTTCAGGCTGGTTACATTTCAGATAGAAAGGTGGGTTATGATTAATAACGCAAGTAAATGTACCATTTATGACTGAGATTAGTGGTGTTAAATAGTGGTACATAATTACTAAATATCTGATAATGAGAATCTGACCTTGTTTGGTTGAAATAGCTTCTCTGGAAGTAGTACCTGGGATAGGGAAGACACAGTCAGTATTAAAAATAAGATTGGAGGGAGCTGGGGTATTGCTCAGAGGTGTAGTGCATGTGTGTGGCATGCACAAGGCCCTCGGTTTTGCTTCCTGGTACCAAAAAAAGAAAAAAAACCCTAGATGTATGGGAATCTCTGGTATGTGTGTGTGTGTGAATTCACTGTAGGGTTAGAAGCAGTATGTTTTTATGCTGTGCATTCCTGTGAGAGTTGGCGCCTATACCCATGGTTTCGTACTTAATCATTTGCTGTCCTGTGTCATTAAGGAGCATGTTTCCCAGTGAGAGATCTAACCTCTGCACCCACCCATGCACTTTGTGCTTAGACCAACTAAGATAGTTAAAAGGATGCCAAGAGAGGATTCCAGCTTATGGGACCTCTGTTGTATGTGTTCTGTCACTGACTGAAATGAAACTGACTTAGCTGTGACTGAATAAGTGAACGGTGCACAGGGGTTACTGTATTTTCAAAGAATATGGATATGGTACCAGACTTCTTTCCCCTTATACTGAATTTTAATGAAGTGGTCAGAACAGTGGTCCCAAGGTTCTGTGTTGGAAACGGTCCTAGAGTAGGGGAGAGGAAAGGTGTGGACAGGTGGGCACAGAGGAGAGCCTGTTGTGCCTTGTGGTTTGTGCTGCGTGTGTTTTCATCTGCTGTGGAGGAAATAGTGTTCTTTGAGATATGCTTTAGATTGTTTTATATTTAAAACCCTTGAGGTTTTTTTTGTATTTAGTACAGGGTCTACAGGGTAGATTGGACTCAGTGATCCGCCTATGTTCAGCCTCCCACGAGCTGGGATTACAGGCGTGTGCCACTATGCCCAGTCTCAATCGCAGTCTCAGCATGCCCCAGGGGCGGGGCCGGCACAGCATGCTTGGGATCGAATCCTGGTCCCCTGCGTCTGCCTAAGGAGGTGCTTTAGTCCGCTGAGCTTTTTGGCCGGCCCCCCTTGAGTCTTAAAAACAAATGTTTATCAGAACAGAACATTTATTGGAAGGCAGAAGTAGGAGGATTATTGCCATTTTGAGGCTAGCCTGGACTACAGAGTAAGCTTAAGGCCTCAGCTACATAAGTGAGCCCCTGTCTCAAAAAGACAAAAAAAAAACAAAAACAAAAAACCCTAAAGATTGCATTTTTTTTGTTTGTTTTTATTTCTTCTTTCCTTTATCCTTTCTGCCTTATTATTTTCTTAGGTGCATGTAATAGTCTTTATTTTGCAGGGAGGAAGAATCTCTGGTGGAACAGTTCGTGTTCGAAGCTTTGGTGATATACCTGGAGAGCCTGGCCTTGGCACACGCGGATGAGAAGTCCTTAGGTGTGTGTCCGCTGCTCTCGCGCGCCGCTCCTGCTTGCCTGAAGCTCTCAGCAGCTCCTCCGCTCAGGAGTTGGCGCTCATGTGATTCTCTCGTCACATTTTCTTCTTTCCACATCTTCCATGATAAGTCTGATGCCCGCCTCCAGTGCCCAGGGCTAGTTTATGAAAGGTTTCTCGTGCCTTAGTTTCTGAGATTCCCCGTATGTCCCGGGCTACAGATGTTGGCTGCTGGATAATGAGGGATCTGCCCCGGGCAGGTAGCCCGCTGAGCCAGTCGGTGACTGTGATGACACAAACATCTCTGGTGAATGCACAGACTCATGCAGCTCAGCACAGTAACCACGGAAATGTGGGCATATCTCTGAAGTTGACGATAATTTAGGAAATAGAGAATGAGTTTCACTACAATTTTGTGATAAAGCCATTTTAGTCATGATCAAAGAAGATATATATATATATATATATATATATATATATATATATATATATAAATGTATTTCATTGTTACAGGGTCTCACTACACAGCTCAGACTCATAGTTGTTTTTTTTTTTTTTTCAGTACTGGGGCTTGAACTCAGCGCTTATTCTACTGAACTGTCTCCCTGGTCCACTCTGACTTATAGTGATCCCCCTGTTTTCAGCCTCCCCAGTGCTGGGATTAAAGGCGTATGCCTCCATGCCCTGACTGTGGCTAGCGTAGCCCTGGGAGTGGGGCTGGCACAGCATGTGGTGCTGGGGAATCGAACTGAGGTCCCTGTGCTTGCCTAAGCTTGCTTGAGGAGGCGCCTCAGTCCACTAAGCTATCTTGCCAGCCCCTGATTAAGGAATATTAAAAAGATACTAAGTCAGAAGTATGCTAACCTAGCTAAGAGAGTAATAGTGAGAGTCTTTACAGTTAAATTCTGTCCAGAGCTGGTGGGAACGTCACAGAAGTTTTGAGCTGAACTTCTCAAAAATTTCTGTTGCTTCCAATACTTGTTCTAATCAGGGCCCAGGCCCAGAATGTCATTGAGGCATTAGGTCACATAGTTACAAGTGGCAGCACTGCTTTTTCACTTGCCTAGACCTAGGGTTTCTGTTTGTTTCTTAAAAGGCAGGTTGAGCTCTATTATCCTTTATGCAGATAATTCTCCATCGGGAAAAGTTGCCTAACATTGTGTTCTGGCTTAATCTACATTTTATTTTTGTGTCCTAGTTAGCTATATAGTGAGTTTTCTAAACTAGTGAAATTGTACTCTTTCCAAAATCATTGCCATATGCCAGGCCCTGCATTCACTCCTCAGCACCATTAAAACCAAAACCAAAACCCTTTTTCTCGTTGCATAGGTCAGCTTAGCACTTATCCTCTAAATAGTGCCAGACCTCTCTGGGTAGTTTGCTGTCTTCGTTTAGTTCTCCTTTTATAGTGGCTGTACTCTAACATAGCTTATCCTAATAGAAGAAGGGGAGCTCAAGGAATGTATGTCCTGTAAAGAGTAGCCTTCAACTGAGGTTCAGGGACTCTGGCCTGGCGTGGGGTTTTATTTTGCCCAAGTCTCCCTCTTCTCCAGTCTGTGTTGTCCCCCAACAACACTGGTGGTGCAGGTTCTAGTTGGGTGTGGTGGTGTATACATGAACAGGCATGAGCTCGTTTATTCTACAGTCTTCTTTAATTTTTTTTTAATTTTTTATTTTGCGGAACTGGGGATTGAACTCAGGCCCTTGCGCTTGCCAGGGAAGCACTTATTCTACTGAGCCATCTTCCCGGCCCTATTCTACAGTCTTAATTCTGGGTTTTGTTTTTGTTTTCAGACATACATTTAAATTTTGTACTTTGAGGGTTGAAACAATATTAAAGCTAAGTAAAATTACATTTTTAAATAGAATTTTTTTTTTTTTTTTTGTATTTTAGGGAAGGGTCTACAAGGTATTCAGGGTCTCACTACTAGATCGGACTTGTAGTGACCCACCTGTTTACAGCCTCCCAAGAGCTGGGATTACAGGCGCACACAACCACGCCCAGTCTGAATTGCTGGTCTCAGTGCACCCCAGGGTGCGGGGTCAACATGGCAGGCCTGGGGATCAAACCCCCGGCCCCTGCGCCTGGCTGCTTTAATGTGCTGAGCTATTTGGCCGGCCTTAAATAGAAAATTAGACCAACAAAATTATGATACAATTTCTTTAGTGATAACTATATATTTTCTTGGGAATCTGTTGGGTGCTGAAAAACAGGTACAGTTCAACAGTGCTGTGATGCTATCGACCACCTAAGGCGCATCATTGAAAAGAAGTATGTTTCTTTAAACAAAGCAAAAAAGCGTCGTTTACCAAGGTACGTGACACTGTTTCTCTTTCCGTTGTTTCCCTCAGTATAAAATATATTCTTAGGCAATAAAGGACAATTGGGATGGATATGTAGAAATAAAAAGAACTCATTTTCTGAACAAAAAAGTGTGGAAATATGAAAAGTTACTTTTCCAGAGAAGATTAAAATCTTTCTGTTTGAAAATGCTTGGCTTAAAGTATAAGTTATTTTATCTTGGTTGGAATGGTAGATATAAATTGAAAACTAGTTTTGAAATGGAGACAATTTGGCCATATTAATTTTTATTGTATTGTATGCTTTTTTTTTTTTTTTTTTTTAAAGTTCTGGAAATTGAGCCGAGGTCCTTGTACAAGCGCCACAAGCTTGTTCTCCCAATAATTATGCCCAAGCCCCTAACTGTACTAATTTTGAATACAAGTTGGATGTGGAATTATTTGATACAGAGTGTACACAAACTGTTATGAAGTAAATTTTGAAGTATAAGAGCTAAGTGTCAAAATACTAGAATTTGACAACCACGGTATTAGAGAACTATGAAACAAAGCCATTCCAAGCTAAAGCTGGGCATCAATCAGTGGTTTCTGGTCAATACTTATTTCCATTCCACCTGTGCCTCTTGTTTTTGTTTTCGTTTTTGCAGTACTGGTCAAACTCAGGACCTTGTGCTTGCCAGGCAAGCACTATTCTACTGAGCTATCCCCCTCTTTTTTTTTTTTTTTTTTTTTTTTTTTACTGGGATACAACTTAGGACCTTGTGCTTGCCAGGCTGGTGCTTATGCCACTGAGTGATCTCCCTGGTCCCCTGTGTCTCATTTTTAAACAGGGTGAGAAAGCTCTGCGTCAGCCCCTCTGCGTCTGTCCAGTACCTTGGGAGGCCTGGTATGTGTGCTGGCAGCCACAATCCTGGGCAAACATTGTCTCATGTATTCTGTATGTAAATAATTCCTCTGTTTTGGGACTGATTCTTCCAGATTCTTCTATAAGCCTATGATGGCTCTAAATAACTGATTATAAAATTTTGACTGCAGTTATAGTTAAAACATGTGCTACTGTCCTGGCTGCAGCCTCAGGATTCCTGTGTCACATCTTGAGGAGGGACAGAGAACTTGCTTCTGTACCTAGCTTGCAGATGCTGCTGATCCGTCTGGTCCAGGGCCCACACCTTGAGAAGCGCTGCTTTGAACTTTGAAGCCCTCCTTTGTTGTGAGGGATATTGAAAAGGAAACATGGAAATAGCTGGTGCTGGTCTCTACAGGAAGATTTAGTTATTTTCCAGATTAAAAAAAAAATAAAATGAAGGCTATCAGCTTTTAGAGCCCATTTAACCTGTGATATTTTGATTTCATTCTAATGCTAATACTTTAAAGTGAGTTCTAACGAGGTTTGTGCATGTATCAGTGTGACAAAGTTGAGTTTGTGTTTTCTGGAGTCTTGCTTATCTAGAAGTTGAATGTTGGAGAGTGTAAATAACACTGTATTCTGTCTGTGCAGAGGGTTCCCACCTTCAGCGTCACTGTGTTTACTGGATTTGGTCAAGTGGCTTTTAGCTCGCTGTGGAAGGCCCCAAACAGAATGTCGGCACAAGTCCATAGAACTTTTTTATAAGTTTGTTCCTTTACTGCCAGGTATGTTGTTTCATACATCCTAAGAAATGCAAGTTGCTCTAAAGATGCAGACATTAAAAACATGATCGTTTTAATGATAAAAGCTATCCCAAAGCTGGAGTTTTTTGTTTTGGTGGAACCGGGGATTGAACTCGGACCATTGTGCTTGCCAGGGAAGCGCTTATTCCACTGAGCCATCTCCCCAGTCCCCCTAAAGCTATTTATCTAGAGAAAGACCTGTATAGTTTGAGTTTCAGAGATGAAACAAACAAACAAACAAAAAAAGCCAGACAACCACTATCTTTCTATTATTTAAATGTCACAGATAATATTTCTAACAAATTAAAAAAATAAGAATGTCCAGTATCATTTCAGATTTGTGTGGCAGGTAATAGATTATGACTATAAAAAAGTATTTTGATGTTGGCCAAAGTGTGCAGAAGAAATAAGTTTAGAACTTTCCAGTATCTTTTTTGGTGCACTGCTGTTTTGGTTTTTTCTATTCCATTTAAAAGAAGAGTTGGGTGACCGACACAGTTAGCATATTTAATTAAACTCAAGATATTAATTTATTGAAATAATACAGTTCTGTTTTAACATGTGGCTAATAAGAAATTGCCTGAATCCCAAGTCTGAACGATCCTAGGTCTTTATGAAAGAAAGTAAAACAATGAACTGTACTTTTCAGGAATTTCTCATAAAGCCGTTCAACTAAACATTAGACATGGAATAATTGCTGAGTTAGTCAGTAGCGAGTGTATTTTACGTTTTGTCCGCTGGGTCTAACCCAGAGGCTAGCAGCTTTGACCTGGGCGAGCTATGTCCCGGGACAGAGCCAGACCGTGCCCCTGCGCTTCTGTACACTAGGCACCAATCCCCCGCCAAGACAGATGCAGCAAATGCCTCCAGTCGGGAAAGGTGCTAAGTGCCTGGCAGAACGTGGGGTGGAGTTAGGAGTTAGGGTTACTCAGGAGGATTTTGCATTTTGTCACACGCGAGGATCTGTTGAGGTTTATATTACATATTTCATGCACTGTACTTGTATATTGTCTGTGTATGCTGTGCATAATCTTTAAACATTCATACTGTACATGCTGTCATTATATAGTATAAATTAGTGTGTACTATCATTTTATAAAAATCACAACTGTATGTACGTTTAGTTTAGAGAATTGCTCAAAATGGTTACTCATTTTAGAATTGCTTCTTCCTTTTGGCTCAGAATTTTATTTATTTTTTTTATTTTAGGAAAGGGTCTACAGGGTGTTCAAGGCGTCACTAACTAGATTGGACTTGTAATGATCCATCTGCCTGTTTACAGCCTCCCAAGAGCTGGGATTACAGGCGCACCACCACGCCCAGTCTCAATTGCTGTCCAGTGTGCTCCCGGGGCGGGCAGGCACGGCAGGCCTGGGGACCCCCAGCCCCTCCACTAAGCTGTTTGGCCGGCCCTTTTTAAGGCCCTTTTTAATTTTTAAGGAATACAAAATAGCAACATAAAAAAGCATTAGAAACAATATAAGTTTTCACTAAACAAAGTAATAGGAATTTAACAATGGTTGCTGTATTACATGATGCTATCCTCAAATTAGTTGTTCAGATTGCCAGATGTAAATGTGTAAGATTTGCTTAAAGAAAAAAAACAGAACAGTAACAAAGAAGTTATAAGAAAGTTGAAGCATTGGGGCTGGGGAGATGGCTCAGTGGAATAAGTGCTTCCCTGGCAAGCACAAGGGCCTGAGTTTGATCCCTGGTTCTGCAAAAAAAAAAAAAAAAAAAAAAAAAAAAAGAAAAGAAAGTTGAAGCATTAACTGCTTTCAAAAGACTAGCAGATGTTATCCAAACTATTCTGCATATATACCTAAATGTATTTCCCCCTTCTTTCCTTTTCCTCATCCCAGTTTTCCTTCCCATTGAGCAATTTCTTTCCCTTTCACAGTATCTTTGTACCTTTTAGATTTTCATTACTCTTTCAAGTTAGTTTTGATGTGTTGTCTTTCCCACAAGCCTGTGTTCAGTTGGTGAAGACCGAGCCAGCAGAGGGCGCTAGTGTCATTGGTTGCTTCTGTTCCTCCTCTCCTTACCTTGGCTGAGAACCTCGTTTTTTGTTTTTTGTTTTTTGTTTTTTAATGCTTGGGAGCCACTTTATATTTTTCATTTTAGTTTGCTGGTACAGTGTTGTGCATTACAGCCCTTGGGGGAAGTCGGTACACGCATGTGCAGAACACATCCCAGCCCCTACTTCTGTCCTCTGCCTCTGCCACCCCCTTGATCCTCTTCCCTCTTGAGAACAACCTGTCTCCCTACTTCCTGTTTCTTTTACAGAGAAACAGCGTGGTAGCATTTAAGCTTGTGTGTCTGATTTATTTCACTTAACACTATGATCTCAAGATGTATCTGTTTTCCTACAAATGACAAGTTTATCTGTCTTGGTGGCAGACAAGTGCGCAGTGGCCCGTGAGCCCGGACGGTGGGCTGTTGGCCCTGTCGTGTGCAGGGTGCTCGGGGAGGCATGCTTGCTGGTGCCTTGTGCATGCTGAGAGCCCGAGCGAGCCTGACGTGCCGCTCAGAGGCCGGGGCAGGCGGGAGCGGGGAGGAGCCCGGCAGGAGAGCTGAGCGCGCTTCCTGCGGCGCGGCCCTGGCAGGCTCCCTTGTGCTGCCCGCCTGATGCGCCTGTGACCTTTCTTCTGATGCTGCCTTCCTTCGCTGCTGCTAATACTGTTTTCCACTCAGTGTTTTCTGTAGCTTTTCTTAGTGAAAATAATGGAATGTGTCCTGCTTTTATTTTATTTTATTTTTTGAACCGGGGATTGAACTCAGATCCTTGCGATTGCCAGTCAAGTGCTTATTCTACTGAGCCATTTCCCTGGCCCCTGTCCTGCTTTTAAAAGTAGTTTTTTGTTTTTGTTTTTTCTTTTTTGTGGTGCTGGGGATTGAATCCAGGGTCTGAAGCATGGGTAAGTGTTCTACCACTGAGCTATACCCCAGTCCTATTTTCTCCTCTGTTTTTGTGCTGGGGATCGAACTCAGGACCTTGCCCTTGCCCACCAGGTGCTTGTGCTACTGCCCCTATTTTCTCCTCTTAATAGAGAAACTATTCTACTTATTCTTTATGCATCACATTTTTTTTTTTTTTTTACTGTTTTGCATTCTTCTCTAACTTCATTGAAGGCAGAATGATTTAACCTTTTCAGAACCAATGATTTCAGACCAATACAAACTGTATAGTTTTGATTTACATAACATCAAAAAAGAAATACTTTTAAATGCTATTTCATGTTATAGCCAACTATTTTTGTGATGTTTAGAGAAATTGAGGAGCCAGACGCAATGGTGCATGCCTATTATCTCAGCTGTAATCCCAGTGCAAGAGTGAGATGGCTATGAGTTCAAGGCCTTCCAGGGCTCAGGCTGGGCTTGAACTACCTGTGTAGTCTGTATTGGCCTTGAACTCACAGCAGCAGGTGGAGGTACTGTCTTGGTGGTAACTACGGTAAAACAAGTTACGAATACTATAGAAAGGATTATCTCACGTGACTTTGAACTTTCAAGTATGTATAACAGTTGAATACAAGAATCATGTGGAAGTTATTAATGATATATGTATTTCAATTTTGTTCCTTTTTAAGGCAACAAATCTCCTTCTTTGTGGTTGAAAGATGTTATTAAGGAGGAAGATGCTTCTTTTCTCATAAACACATTTGAGGGGGGCGGCAGCAGCCATGCCCGGCCCTCAGGAATCCTTGCTCAGCCGACCCTCTTCCACTTGCAAGGACCGTTCAGCCTGCGAGCAGCCCTGCAGTGGCTAGACCTGCTCCTGGCAGCGCTGGAGTGCTACAACACATTCATTGAGGAGAAGACTGTGGAAGCACGTGAGGTCCTAGGTGGGTAACCTCCCCTTAGAACCATTGCCCGTTCTACCAGAAGTCAGCCTGGGTAGAGAGTTTGCTCTATGTCAAAATAATAGTAATAACATAGTGACACACACTGGTTACTTACTTAGTGCTGCAGAAAGAGCTTTACTGGTGCTATCCTTTACATTAGTCCATTTTCTATTACTGTAACAAACTACCTGAGGCAATCAACATCAGAATACCAAAGGTTTCTTCTGGTTCATGGTTTAGAAGTTTTAGTCTGTGATTTTTGGCCCTGTTGCTCTTGGGCCCTTGGCGAGGCAGCACATCGTGGTGAGAGCACCGGCAGAGCGCGCAGCTCATCTCCTGGTGGCCAAGGAGCAAAGAGCGCAAGAGGAGCAGTCGGGCTCAGTGTCTCTTCCGAGGCTACGCCTCCAATGGCCTGGCCTTTTCCTGTCAGAGTGCATCGCCTCGAGGTCATACTCCTGGAAGTGTCCAGGATTGGTGACCAAGACTTCCACACGTGGGCCCCTGGAGGACACTCACCCAGTTTCTACTGTCATTTAATGTCACAGTGACGATTGCAACGTGGATGACAAAATGGAGCTTATGCAAACCTATGCCAAACCTTCACTGCTTTTTTTTTTTTTTTTAACTAGGAATCAAAACTCGGGGACTCACACATGCGAGGCAAGCACTCTGCCACGAGCTACATCCCCAGCACTGTTCCTGCCAGTTTAGTTTTTTGTTTGTTCTGTGGTTCTTTTTATCTTGATGTGCTTAGGATTGAGCCCAAGACCTTGGGCCTGGTAGACAGATACCATGGTGGGAAAGCATTAGGTTACAGTTTGTTCTTGCAAGCAACCAAGCAAACCCCGAAATTAGGAAACTCCCCCTCCCACATGGCAGTAAGGGAAAAACTGCAGCATAGTCTTGTGAGTGCAGACTTTGCTACTGGACAGCGATAGACCCTGAGTAGAAAGAAAATCAGGGCTGGGGAGATAGTTCAGCGGCATAAGTGCCTGCCTGCCAAGCACAAGGTTCTGAGTTCGATCCCCTGTACCAAAAAAAAAAAAGGAAGAAAGAAAGAAAATCTGAGTTACATGAAGACAAACAGGAGTGGTAATTCCTAATGGTATCATCCAGATTTAGGCAATGTTAGGTCCTCAAGCCATGTGATAAGCAGCCCCTCTCTCTCTCTCAGGATAAGTAGGGAGATGGATTTAAACAGAACAGTGGGACAGCATTCTGGGTAACCCTCTGGCTCTAAGTGGTACAGAAAAACAGCAAACTAGTCACAGCAACTGTATTTTAAAATATTGCCAGTCACAGCTGCTCCTTTTGAGGGAGGCAGTGGTACCCACATTAATGGTTAGCTTGCGCCCAGGAGAGTGAATGACCTAGAAAAGTTAAAAGCATGGCATTGGGGAAACACCCTAGTGCCCAATCTGTGGGAGACTGAATTCCAGTCTAGGAAATCTTAGGGGGACAGCCAGGTGGGGTGAAACCTGACAGACAGTGAGTACATTAAGGGACCAGGAAGCAGAAAACAGTAGTGATTTGAACTTGGAGACAACAGGAGGTTCATCTTTTGTGGAGGGAAGATGTCCTGTGGAAGCCAGCGGAAAGCTGAGCACCTGTAGCTTCCCGCTAAGCGTATACCTGTCCCCTTGCCTCCCTTTCAGAGTGAACCCAACCATGTGGAGGCACTAGCTGACTACTCCTCTAAGAGAAGGGTCTGGTAAATTAACCGATAGCCCAGACTCCCAGGGACTACACCTGTGAGAGATTTGGTGAGCCACCCAGTTTTTCTGGCCACCTCAATCCCAAGTACCACCGGAGACTGTCAGGGAGTGTGGGCTAATCCCACTACTGACAGACCGGCTAGGGTAATTATCAGTAACCGCTAAGAGGCAGAACTTACCCTCCAGCCAGTGAACAGCTTTTCTTATTAGGCCAGAAGCAGAGAAAAGACGCTGTGGACTTTAAAAAAAAAAAAAAATCACATTTCTCCATTTACCAGTGGCATCTGATAATATAAATTCTGGGGGCCGAGGAGATAGCTCAATAGAATAAGTGCTTGCCTGGCAAGCTCAGGGTCTTGAGTTCATTCCCCAGTACCACAAAAAAAAAAAAAAAAAAAAAAAAAAAGAAATTTTGGGGAATTAAATGTCTCCAGTATAAATATCTCCATACAGAGGAATATTGGACCTATTTTTTCTATTTTTAGTTTGTGTGTTTGTTAGCCTACATATGAATATTAGTTATGACTTTTCCTTTAGTAATGTCTTTTGTTAGATTGTCCCATGTCAGGTGCTTCTCATAGTGTTTTTTGTAGGGTTTTAAAGTATTGTGTCTTTGCTATTTAATTGGATTCAGTCTCCCTATGTCTTCTCTGATATTCCAGTTCTTTTTCCTTATTCTTGGACCTTCTCTTCCATCTTTCCCTCTCCTATTTTATATAAATATTATCATTAAAACACATTTCTCTCCTTATCCTGTTCTATATTATTGTTCTGCCTTTTCTTTGGAGTGATGCTGGATTGAAGAATACAGTATTGTATGTGCTAAAAAGCGCACAGAAAAGCTTCACAGCAAGTGTGCACAGGCCTGTGACTGTGCGCTCAGCGAGTGCATGCTAGTGCAAAGCGTACACGGCCTCTTGAGCACTAGTTTGGTTTTTTCTTTTTTTCTTGCCTAGGGATTGAACTCAGGACCTTGTGCTTGCCAGGCAGGCATATAAGCCCACTGAGCTATCTCCCCAGCCCATATGCAGCCTTTTGAAGGGCTTCATCCGGCCCTGCAAGCTATTGCCAACAAGCTGGCTCTATATCCATGTCTTCAAAATAACATTCCACGTTTCTGTCAATGCAGGTGCTACTGGAGGATGAGAAATGTCTAAGACCAGTGAATTCCATGAGCACAAGCCTGTTGCCTCACTTCTTGGGCCATAAAATATGTTCCTTGGTCAGAGGCAATGCTATGCGGAATTCCGTGGCAGGAGATAAAGCATTCTGTGAGCCCATAGTTGCTAGTTTTAGCAGAAGCATTAACGCAGAGAAGACAAATCCAGGGCTGCGGAGATAGCTTAGCAGACTAAGTACCTATTGAGGCAAGCGCAGGGACCGGGGAATCAATCCCCAGAACCACAGGCCGGGCTGGGCCGCCCCCAGGTGCACTGAGCATGCCACCAAGTCCAGGCATTGTGGCTGACACCTGTAATCCCAGTGCTGAGGATGTTGAAAACAGGAGCTGTCTAGTGAGACCCTGTACCAAATACATTAAAATAAAAAGAAGACAAATCCATATCCAGAAGACATGTCTGTGAATTCTGAAAGAAACATTTCAGTGCCCTCCACTGCATCAGCCTGATTGACAGAAATGTCATGTATCAGACCGTAAACCCAGCCTGGAGGAAGCCATACCCACACTGACACTGAGCATGACTTTGAGGGGGCTGATGCGCAGGTCGTCGAGGAGGTGGTGGTCGTGGGCAGGAGTATAGGTCTTGACATCGGTGGCACAGACGTAGAGGAGCTGGGTGAGGACTCCGATGAGGGGAGAACTTGCGCTGCTTGTGGAGGAGCGTTCCACTGAGAAAGAGCAAGACGGGGAGGAGAGCTCACCAGTGATGTGATAAAGTCCACTATGGAAAATGGAAAGAGTGCCAGGATTTCCCTGAGACGCACCACCCCGACAGAGCTGAAATGAACAGACAGCGTTGATTCTGATCAAGGATAGCATGGCCGCTCATTTCCGGAGGGTTATGAAGAAAACAAGAGCGAGGAAAAAACAAGTGACACGAGTCAGATTTTGTTGTTGCTAAAATTGACCTTGCAGCTCAAAGGTAAAGAAGAAAGGAGATTCCTGAAGACCTCCCTGATGTCCTTGTTCCCTCAAGCAGTAATCTTCCCACCCACCTTCCTGTTCTCCTTGGTACAAGTCCCCGCAAGGAAGATTAGTTTTCTCTCCCTTTGTACTGTACTGTAGTTTGCTTCATATTATTGTGTTAAAAATAGATAGTTCTGAGCAGATTAACCATAACATTGAACCTTATGAGAAAATTTGATTCATGACCAGTTCAGTTCTCAGTGAGTAAACTGAGGCACCACTGTAAATGGTTGAGCGAATTAAAGATAATACAGGGCTGGGGAGATAGCTCAGTGGTCTAAATGCCTGCCTAGAAAGTACAAGGTCCTGAGTCAGATCACTGGTACCACATGCCGTGCCAGGTCCATGCCCACCCCCAAACCAGGCATGGTGGCACTCTGTAATCCCAGTGCTGGTGAGGCTGAGACAGGAGGATCACTATGAGTACAAGCTGTGCAGTGAGACTCTGTATCTAAATTAATTTAAAAAGTAAAGATAATACACGATATCAGAGATTACTTAAGTAAGAAATGGAAGTTCTTAGGGCCAGGGATATGGCTCAGCAGCATAAGTGCTTCTGGCAAGCACAAGGTACTGAGTTCAGTTCCTGGTACTGCCAATAAAAAAAAGAGAGGGAGGGAGGGAGAAAGAAAGAGAAAAAAAAGAGACGGAAAAAAAAAAAACAAGCTAGCAAAGAAACAACAATCAATCAAATAGAAACTTCGGCAAAAGTCTTAGCACTAGGGCTAGCCTGATAGCTCAGTGCTCTGAAGCACCTGCTTAGGCAGAGCGCAGTGGCTAGGGTTCACTTCCTGGCATGCCATGCCAGCCCTTACCCAGAGCACGCTGAGACAGCAATTGACACTAGGTATGGTGGCATATACCTGTAATCCCAGTGCTTGGGAGGCTGAAAACAGGAGAATCACTATGAGTCAGATCTAGTAGTGAGACCCTGTAGACCCTGTACCAAATACATTAAAAAAAAAAAAAAGGCTTAGCATTAGGCAGGATGAATCAGAAGAAAGGATGTCCAGACTTAAAGACAAGGACCCTACAACATTCAGACAGTTATAATGGAGAGAGAGAGAGAGAGAGAGAGAGAGAGAGAGAGAGAGAGAGAGAGAGAGAGAGAGA